AAAATGAATATTGATAAAGTTTACCTTTATGTACAGAATCTGAATATTGCAAAATATTTTTAAAAAATTGCAATAATATCGTATCGTGGGATGTATGGTGATTCCCACCTCTACCAACTAACTGCTGAAAAAAACCCATCCGATGGCTGACGGTTTTCTTCTCCCAAACTTTGCGTTTGTAGAAAAGTTTCAATGGTGGACAGAAGGTATTACAAAGGATCTAGACCCCACAGAGCTCGGTGCAGTGGCCCAGACCTGCACCAGTCTGTGGGCGAGTCAAAGATTTCTACAGGTCTCTGGGCTCCATGTGGAAAAGAGTTGGCTGTTATCTGTTGTGATTAGTCAGTGATCCGAGAGAAGGCAGCGTCTGCTTCAGTCTCAGCGGGAGAAGCTTGGAGTTCACACCATCTTCTTCCCTGGATACAGTTTGTCTGTTTGAGAGTGTGCTTGCCCAGTGCACGTTTGTGTAGGCCTGCATCTGACTGGCTCTCCCATCACTAAGCATTGTGCACTTGCACTTGTGTTTTTATCCTTGGTCCACTGGACAAAGGGCCATGGGGAATGGAGGCCAAAAGAGGAGAGGTGGTGGCTGGACAGGACTGAAGTGACTGTGTGTGTATTACTGTTTTTGAAAGTGCATTTGCTGAGGTAAGCAGGATAAGGTGAGCAGCAAGTGTTTGAGGAGTCACATGTTCAAGATGCGTTTGAGGTGTCCAGCAGGTGAAAGGAGCACTGAGTGACAATGAACAATCTGGAGGTTTGTTTACTGCAAACAAACCTCCAGATTAGCCGCGCTGAGTGGAAAAAAAATTGAAAGGAGACACGCAGTCATCACAAGGTAGAGGATTGTTTTCTTTGTACGGCCAAGCTTAGGATGCCAAACCAGAAAAACACTTCTTGCTCAAAAGAAAAAAGTAGTACATGAGGTGAATTTACTTTTGTGTAATATCAGTAATCTGCCTGAAATTAGGCTTAGAAAAAAATCCATTAACTTGTTGCAGAGACAAGATTGAACGTATGATCATATCTGCACACTAACTATTAAGCTACCAGTATTTTCTGGCATATACTGACATTAGGGATGCACCGATAC